GCAGCGGGCGGGCGGGCGGCCTGGGCGCCTCCTGCCCATTGCCTGAGCGTGATCATCCTATAAACCTCCTGTCCCACACATGCCAGCTGGCTGTCTGTCCTTCCTTCAGTCTGGCTCTGCCTTCATGTTGCATTTGTTAATTACTTTGTTGCTAAAACAAAACTAGAACAACTGCTCCCTGCCTCGCGGGACCCTGGGTGGCAGCCGGGGCTCCCCCTTCTTTGTTGAACCCGGTGTCGGGGGTTCTGCTGAGCTCCTCAAAGACCCCGTGTCTCCCGCCCCAGAACTCCCAGCCCCTTGGAGCCAGGGCTTGTAGGCGCATAGGACTGTCGGCCCCGGCCACTCTTGTGGGGGAAAGGGGGACCCACGCAGGTGGACAGCTGCGTCCAAGCTGAGTACAGGGATGGACTGAAGTGACAGCCACAGGGACCCTGTCAAGGTGGGGTTGGCATTTCACAGGACCTTGCAGAGATTGAGAAATGTGTCCGAGGCCCTAGCTGAGACGCGTTTGTCTCGCCCCAGAGCCTGGACTCGTCTCAGCATCGTGTGCTAACTACCCCAGCAGGTGCCCCGTGGACCAGGAGATGCTTGCAGGTTCCTGGGGTCGATCCTAGCCAACAGGAATGCAAACACCGGCGGTTAGTCCAGGGTGGACGGTCTGCCTGCGCCTTGGAACCATCTCTCAAGCCAGGAGGGTGAGGTGGCACCAGCCTCCCGCCCATTGCTCTGGGTTACGGCTGCCTCCTTCTTGTGTATTCCTCTCCCTCTATGATTGTCTTCTCTCTGGCCGACTTGATGGCAGACACCCCATCTGTCTCATCCGCCTGTGTGTCTGTGGTGCCCTGGCTGGAGCGTGGCACACAGTAGGTGCTCACGAGCTCCTTGTTATTGCTGCAGCTTGGCTGTGTGGTCCCTCGAGGCAGGTGTCAGACTGCACACTCACCGTTGTCTGTCAGCACCAAGAATAGTGCGTGGCATGCAAGAGGTGCTCAATAATGGTGAATGAGTGGCTGAAAGTCTGAAAGTGAGTAGAGCGAGTAAAGGGCATCCGTGACCCCACTCGGTATCACCACGGAGAGACGGGCGTGGCTCCTTGCCTTGCCTCCCTGGCTCTGTGACCTTGAGCGATGGTCCGCTTCTCACGTGACCCCTGGCTCCCCTGAGTGCAGGGAGACCCTCCAGCTTGGGCCTGGCCAGTGATGCTCCGTGGACACGCGGTGAACCGGGTTCGCAGAGATGGAACTTCAGCTGCTCCAAGGAGCTCGTAGGGCCTTGGAAACTGGATAGGGTTAGAAGTGAAGCAGACTTTCTTCCCGCTTGGTTTTCTTTCTCAGATGACCCTTTTTCCTCTCTATAATGTGAACGGGGGTGGTTTTTCTTTGTGCCAGGAAGGCAAAGTGGTATATTTTGGTGTGGAATGTTACCCGATGTTGCAGAATTAGCCTGCCGCCCTTCCTAAAAGCACAGGGATGTGTGACTCCTTCCCTGGTCGCGTTGGGTCACCACCGTAGGACACATGCTCCTAATGCACGTTTAATGCGTGCATTCCATTAAACACAGGAGGGCCAGGGAGTGACCCGGGTCAGAATTCGTGTCGTTTGTATGCCCAAAGGGCCTGCGTTCACACGTGGGGCCTCAGAATGGTGACGACGGGCCTCTTCCCAGCGTGGGGTATCGTGTGGTGTCACAGAGGTGGGTGGGGTGGAGAGAACCCCCTGCACGCCCCAGCCTGGGGACCTGCAGGAAGGAGGCACAGCCACCATGATAACCATGCGGATGAGCATAATAAGCTGCACTTAGAGCAATCACATCTTCTACCCAAGGGACTCGGTGCACGCTCACAGCACAGGTTAGTCCAGTGGGGTGGGAAGTAGTGGGGCCAGCAGGGCGGGGAGTAGATGCTCCAGGGCCGGGACGAGAAAGAAGCCATGGGGTCCGGCTTGGGGAAGGACCCTCGGGTGAGGGTCGGTCTGAGTCCCTCGCGGGCTCCCCGCTCACTCCCTCTCTTCCTTTTCTCTCTGCATTCAGCATGATCTACACGCTAGTGAGCTCGTAACTCAGACCGCTCACGTCCTCCGAGGCTGAGTTCACGGGAGCCGGGCCCAGACGGGGACGCGTGAGAGACACCTGCGGACTGAGGGCCCCTGCAGCAGCAGTGGGCCAAGGGGTCGCTGCCCAGCCTGCATTCAGGGTGTGGTCCCTTTGGGGCCGTGGGCCCTCTCCTGGGCAAGGACTGCTGCTTCCTGAGTGCATGCACCTCTCCGACATCTCCGTGCCGTGCACGCTGAGCCCCGGGGCCGCGGGAGGGGTGGCTGACAGGCTGCCCGGGGCCTGCCCAGGACGGAATGACCCAGGATCCAGGCCGAGTGTGTGGCACCCCCTGAGCCTCGTGTTTCTTCTGACCACTGGCCATGCCCCGCGCTTCCGTGGGACGGCCTGGAGAGCGCACACATTGGCCTCTGAGCCCTGACCGGCCCCGAGCCCGCGGGCTGTTTGCGCACTCTGTGGTGGGAGAGCCGGCTCTGCGACCCCAGGAACGCAGCGTGGGGCTGTCCGTCCGTCCTGAGTTATGTCCAAAGTCGAGGGGAGGTGGGAATCCGAGGGAAGAATGATTTTGTAAAACGTTCACAGGTTCAAAGTGTTAGTTCTTGGCCCCCACGAGCTCTACTCTTGGGCTGTCAATCCAGAGCACCACAGAGCCCATGAGCGTGGATTGATGGCTCCACATTGTCACAGCCACCCTGAGTCAAGGACCCCGAGCAGCCACGTGCCCAGAAAGCACTGCGGTCCCTGCTCTGCGCCCGCGGCTGGCAAGTGACACGGCACAGTCATATGTTGCTGCATCGTTCACGCGGGGACATTCGCTTGTTGGAATTTTCTGTTTGACAGTCTGTCCTCTGTGGGTAGCCGCTGTTCTAGGGGCTTGTAAATAATGACAAGGCTGAGATGTTCCATGTGGATTGGGCACAGTGATTTCCACCTTGTTCCCAGAACTTGCTTGTTTGCTTCTGTTGGACACGCACAGACTGCTTATACCTGTGTCCGGCTCCCGGCGGAGGCCCGTGCCTCAGGCTTATGAATGGTGTTGGTGTGACACGCCGTGCACACGTTTGCATGCCGTGGCAGGTCCAGTATCTCACCTACCTGGCTGGTCTCGTTTAAACCCCGTGACAGGCTGCATTCGGCTCTGCGGGGTTGGCACATTAGAAAAAAAGTTTCCAAAAGGTGTTTTGCTTCTAAAAATTGTACAGAGAACAAAACTCAGACTTCTGCTCTGAGGCTGAAGGTATAAAACCAGGGGATTCTGGGCGGTATTTTGGGGACCAGACTTCCCTTTGTCCAGGCTGGGTAGCTGGGGCTGGGGTGCAAGCTGCATGTGGGGCCAGCTGGCCCCATATCTGACCCCATTCCTGAGAAGACCGGCTGCGAGAGCCCTGACTCGCCATACTTCTCACCCTTGAGCTGCTTTGTTTGCTGTTGTACTTTGCCTCCTTCCAGAAGGATGCGCAGTGGTCCGTAATAGCAGACACAGTTACCCAGAGACCACTGAAATGGAAGTAGGGAGCTCAGACCCACAGAGGAGGACACACCGACGTCCCAAGGTTCTGATTCCTGAGACTGACCTTGAATGTTGCCTTCTCTTCGCAGTAAAGGGTAGCCCACATTCGCCTAGGTTGCTTTCATGTCCTCTTTGACCTTCCTCACGGTCCTATGAGGTCGATACTCTTCTTTTTCCCATTTTCTAAGGGAGGAGGCAGAAGCTAAGAGAGGGTAAGCGACTTACCCGTAGTCACTCAGCAGCCACAGACCTGCCTTTACACCCAGGTCGTCTGACTTCAAAACCCCATGTCCTTTCCATCACCCGAGAGCCAGCGAAGCAGCTTAGGCCCCTGCGACAGTTGGATTAGCACACACTTTTGGAGAAAAGGAGATTTAAAGACACAGAGCTATAGACAAAGTGCCTGGTTTCTGTTCCTTCTGTGCGGGCCTCAGCCTTGCTTCGCCGTGGCGGGTTCTTCCCTGAGGGGGTCCCCTGAAAGCTGGAAGAGCTGCAAGTGCACGAACACCCCAGCGCTCCCCTCCCACAAGCTGCGAACCCGAACCATCTCTGCTGGTCTGGCGGGGGCTTGAGCCGGTTTTCGGGTCCTGTGAGAGCTAATCACGAGCACAGGGGTGAACAGCTGCTGGAGCCGCGCCAGGTGCCATGACCTCGCCCGGCCCACAACGACCCCACAAAGCAGCTGGGCGTTACCAACCAGGAGGCCAGGGAGGCTCGGGTGGGTGAGTCTGCCCCAGGGACCGAGCCAGACCAGGGCTCGGGGCTGCGCCTCAGTGGGGGATGGTGACCACAGCTCTGAACCGAGGTGTCGGCCGTTGCTCCAGGCGCTCGCATCTCGCGGCACCGTGGGGTCCACGTTATCCGCGTTTATAGACGAAGACGTTCTGGGACCTCAGAGACCCTCAGCGAGGGAGGGGCGGGCAGAGCTGGGGCCGGCATCGAAGCCCCCATGTGCCCCGCCCCGTAACGTTGCCTGCTGGGATATCTTCACCTGTCTGTTTGTCCCACAGTCGGGGGTGGGAGGGCAGAGCAGGGGACAGTGCCCTGGGTACATCCCAAAGCGGCTCTCCCTGCCTGGCACGGCTCTGGGCACCGGGAGAGAGGTTCTCAGGGGCACAGGCGTCAGGGAAGGTGCCGTGGGGACCCGATTCCCATTTCCTTGGAGGGGCAGAGCCGTAGGCCTGGTTGTGCCCAAAGGGGCAGAGCAGGACTGGGGGGGTCACTTACTTTCCACGTCACTAAGTTGAGGTGGATGATGACACCCACTACACTGACCTGTTGGATTAAATGAGGTCATATTTGCAAAGAACCGGGAAGAGTGCCCTGCACGTGGGAAGTCAGGTAAGAGGTCCCCCCTCTGTGCGAGGTGGGTCCCCCTCGCTGTCCTCATTGTGCCCTGTGCGCATCCTGGTCCAGGGCCTCTGGAGGGCGGGGGGACGTCACCTGGACCAGCTGTCTGCCTGACGCCTCGTTCCGGCCACAGTATCCTGACCCCTCTTTCCCGCGCTGTGCTCTCCAGCCTGTGCTGGCCACCCTCCAACGCTTGCCCCGCGCAGGCCCCGTGCAGAGCATGCGACGCGCACGGTCTCACCTTAACCCCCACGACAATATCGCGAAGTAGGGGCTGTCACTGGTCCGGTTCATAGTTCAAGTACTGAAGCTGGTGGAGGTTACGTGAGTGACAGTTACCAGTGACGCGTGGAGCCTCGACTCCAACCCACGTCTGTTTGTCCCCAGGACCTTGAGCCCTTTGCACTCCTGAAGGGGTGATGCTGGACAGGGCCGGAGGAGGGAGAAAGGGAGGGACGCTGTCCCAGGAGCGTGGCCGGCACACCTGCCTTCTCCATAGCCAGTAGCTAAGGGTACATGACCCGACATTCGGAAGGGTCTGCGCTACGGGGTCTTGTGCAAGCTTCCTGATGTTTCTGAAACTGAGCTGTCCCGTCCGTAAGGTGGGGCAAGACTACCTCCCTTGCTAGTGTGGTTGCGATCATCAAAGTGAGTTATGTGCATAGGGCTTGTGCAGGGGGCTCAGCACACCTTGGTCCTCAGTGTCCAGCTTCCCTCCCCACCACAGACGTGAAGGGAGCCTTCCTGGAATTGAACGCTAGCTGCCTGCTTCCCGCCCCCCAGTCCTGCGGCCGGCCGGCACGGGATCCTGGGGAACAGGGCTCAGCCCTCTCGAGATCTCCCCTGTGCTTCCTGTTTGTAGGCTTGGCCATTGCACCGATGTTGAATGAAGTTACCGCTGTTGGGGCAGTTTTGTTCTCTCCCGAGAGAGGCGAGTGGAGCTGCTTTGACAACTGCACAGACCCCTCCTAACCCTTCCCGTTCCCGGGCTGGGGCTGCTCCTTTCCCAACTGTGCGCTGGTGAAGTGGTCCGGGTCTCAGGCAGCCTGGGCTGCGAGGCTCGGGCAGAGGGCTGCGGCCGCTGGGGTCACTGGGGCGCTCCCTGGCTTGGGTTTTGGCTGCCCCCACACCCAGGAGCCGGGCAGGGTAGCAGGCCCCCCGGGCTTTGCCCCACATCGCCATGGCCGTTTCTGCTCCTGTTCAGCTCTGCTCAGATAGCTCCGGGCCCCCCAGGAGTGTCTTCCTGTGCTGAACCTGACCCCTCGGCCACCACATGACGCCCACGCAGGCTTCCTTCCCAGCTGGTGAGTGCTGGGCTGTGGAGCCGCTCCTTACATTTCTTAGGGCTCTTGCTCTGAGCACGGCCCTTCTGAAAACGGCTTATGTAAGCTCACAATGAAATAAATCATATTCAAAACAAAGGTAACGAAGAGTCAAAACTCACCACCTCCTGGTTATTTCAGGACATCTTACCGTGCTCTGTGCTCTGTGCTGTGCGTACGGGGGATCGCCATGTAAGCATAGCGATCTGCGTCCTCCCTGGGGTGCCCTGGCAGCTCGAAATCAGCCCGGTCAGAGCGTGTGCACCTGCAGCAGATCGCGTGCCCTCCCCTGCCTCGCACGCCTCCCCCGGGCTCATTGCTGGACGTTGACCAGTACCCGGGGTTCATGTCCGCCCGTCCGCGGCACGGCCATGTGGCAGCTGGTGGCCAGCCCCGCCGAGGGCATGCGCACCAGAGCCCGGTGTCCAGGGCTCTCGGGGCCGGACCTGCCTCCCACACAGGCAGTGACACCAGTGGCTCTCATTTATGTGCTTTTGTCCCCGAGAGATGATCGGACAGTAGACTTTTCAGCTGTAAGGCTTGAGGGCCTGCACGTAACGTGAGGAACACGGCTGAGCACGAACATGCTTCTGTACTTGGGCCCCAGTGCCCTTGAATTACCTTGGGGGCAGCTGTCCTTCCTGTCCACCACCTGGACGCTGGGTCCCGTCCCTGGGGTCTTCCATGTCCTGCAGCTGAATGCCTGGGTCCTGGGTGAATGCTGAGGTGAATACTGACCACACTCCGCGCGTTATGCGTCCCGTGGGGGGCTGACGAGGGTCCAGGGCGTCTCCGGGTGCCTGCAGCCATGCTTTGCACACAGAACGAGCTCGGGAACCACAGCTCTTCTCTGCTCGGCTTTGCAGGCTGGTGAGTGTGGTGTCTGCTCCCAGCCAGCCGTGCGGCTGTGGTTCCTCCCCACACACCCCTCCCCCAGGCAGGCCCCTCTCCTCCTGGACCAGGTACCTCAGGGGCAAACACACACCTGCTGGTGGAGAGATGCACCGGCACAGGGAGGCTGTTTGGCTTCCGGAAGGAATCCTGGCAGCTGGCAGAGAGACTTACAGACCACGGCAGAGTTTCTGTCCCAATGCCGTGCCCAGGCTCTGAGCAGAAGACCCTGGCCCTTTCAGAAATGCTTGGCACCTTGGAGAAACAGCATCACCTTTCCAATAGGAATATATCTCTGAGATTCCAGAGCAGGGGACCTGGGGGAAAGGAGAACTGGTTAAGCACCAGTGCCCACATTAAATTATAAAGAGAGGCATCCATCGGGCCCCCAAGCCGGGGATGGCCTGTTTTGACTGCGGCAATGAAAACAGCAGGGCAGAGCTGGAGGCTCTCAGGGAAATGTTGCTGGTCGGTGGCATCAGGGCACAGGTCTTGTGATGCTGTTCTGATTTTCCCACAGCTCCGCAGGGAGTAAGTGTGATGTTGAGGTGACGTTCTGGGCTCCACGGGCTGCAGAGAGCCGTCTGCGTGGAGGGGTGCTGGGTGGAAGCAGAGATCTGTGGTCAAGCACCTGTGGGCCCTGCAGGGCTAAACACACCCGCAGATTTTCCCCAACCGCCCTGTGCAGGGAGCTTGGGTCCCGGCATCAAGGGGGAGGCTGGTCTGCAGGGCACTCGCTGTGAAGTGTGGCCCTGGGGACTCCGAGGGAGGAGTGGGGCAGAGCCCTCTGGTCGAGGGTGGCCTGAGACATGAGCGTGTATTGGGGTGGGATGGGTCCACACAGGGACCTAAGGATGGGAATGAGTGTGAAAAGGTGGGGCTTGCCCCAAATTGGAGAATGGCACTAATGAGAATTAATCCACATAATCCAAGTGCAGAAAAAGGTAGGAAGGGCTGGATTCAGGATCCCCTGGATCATAAGCTCTATGAGGATAGGCTTTCATTAGGTAGCTCTAGAGCTGGGCTTGGTTCTCATGAGACTGCCACAAATCCATGTTGAATGAAATTTTGGATCCCTTCTAGAATCAGCAGGAAGCCAAGAGAGCCACTCCGGTCCGTGGGAACCGGTGTCCTGGGAGGAATGTGGAGGCCTCGTGCAGCTGCGTCCTGGATATGCCTTGTTGGGCCCAGCAGTGATAAAGCAGGTGCAAGCACGGCCGGCGCATCTGCAGGTGCCCCTCTCTGCAAAGACCTCTCTGGGCTCGTTCTTCTCGGAATCAGGAAAACACACCCCCTAGACCCACAGGAGCAGATGGTGGCTCTCCAGAGTCATGGAGTGACCAACCCTAGACTCCAGCTTAGAAAACCTTGAGGGAAAAAAGAGCCAGGCCTCGGGTTGCGGCTCCCTGGCATGTGGAAGCAGCTGCAGTCCAGCCCTTGAGCATTGCTCCTGGCAGACAGGGGTCTCCCCACGGGCCCTGGGGGTTCTCCTGGCTGGGGCCGCAGAGGGGAGGGCGAGGGTGAGGATGGTGGGTGGACAGTGACAATGACTTTAGGCCCAACCACTTCTGCAACATGGCCCTCTGTTCAGGCCCAGCTTGGGGGTTGGTGGGCCTGGTCCCAAGGAGAGCAGGGGGGCGGCCAGGGTCGAGCCAGATAATACAGATCGTGGGTTCGGTTCTGATGTCCTGTAAGTCCAGGTGGTTCCAGCTGTGGTGTAACAGGGAGGCTGACTCCATTTTCCATGTGTGTTTGCTGACCGCTTCTGGGCCTCCTCAGCCCCTCCTCCTCTTCCCCACATCTGGGCCAGCTGAGGAGAGGGTCTGCATGCTCCCTCCCTCGATACCGGGGGTGGGGAGTCCCAGCCACACAAAACCCAGCCTGTGTGTGGGACCCCTCGCCCTAGTCCCACCCCCGATCATAACAGAAGCCAGACCCCTCCTCATTCTCCAGCCATCCTGTTGGGAGCCTGCCCTGCTCCCCCGAGAGACTCATCATGTCAGTTATAAACTCTTTCTTCCTCTTGGTCCACGTGTGGCATCGGGCTCAACATGCAAGTCAAATTTTGAGTGGGGGGTTGGTCCAGCCCCTACCTCAGGGCAAGCAAACATGTGGTTACTGGTAGATGCTAGATGCACAAGGAGCTTATTTCTGGCTCATTCTGGTCCAAGGGAGAAGCTTCTGGTCCAGTGGCCTCCCATGAGCTCATTGGAGGCTGGGCCCTTCCATCTTGTAGCCCCACCTGTTTGAGGCCTTTAGGATTGTCTGTGTTGTCAACAGCAGGGAAGAGCATGGAGGGTCAGGTGCACGCTGCTCTTCACAGGCCTGGCGCTCAGGTGTGCAGCCCACCCACGCAGAAGACGTGCCTTGCAGCCAGGCAGTGAGCACGCAGCAGCACCTCCCATGGGCATGCGGACTGTCAGTTGGCCATCGAGGGGGTGTTAGGTAGTGGGGTAGAATCTGAGGAAGAAGTTCTGGGTGAGTGCCGTACATTCATAAATAGCCTTCTGGGCGATGAGAGAGGAAGAGGAAAGAAAAGGAAAAGATAATTTTATTCACAATATCCTTTCTGGTTGGTTTTCATGCTTGAGGCTTGCCTTCTACAATCTCACCCAAAGCAGTGGGTGTGGGTGGGGGGCAGGAGAAAGCAAGCAGGAAGATGTGGGTCCCTTCCCTGTGAGTCAGAGTCAGCTGCTTGTGCACACTCACGCACACACCCCTCACACACACGTACACACACTCACATGCTCATATATGTGCACGCACATACACACGTACATACTCTCATTTGCACACACTAACATATGTGTGCACACTCATACACACATGTACACACATGTGCACACACACACTCATGTGCACACACATACACACACATACATACTCATATGTGCATGCACACACTCACTCATACACTCACACACATATGCACACACACTTTTTCTCATGATCGGTCCCTCCAGTCTCCTGCCCTTCTAAGCCTCGGATGAGAAGGAAAAGGAAGTAGCAGGAGAACAGGAGGGGAGGGAGGGTGGAGAGCAGAGGAGAGACGAAGTCGGTCAGCTATTTTAAGGACATGAAAGTCTTCTCGTAAGTCATTACAGTATCCTTGCCAGTTCATTTCCTTTCTAATGAAGTTGAAAGGTAATCTGATACGTTTCATTATCTCTGCAAATAATTCATAAGTTCAGATGAACTCAGAACCATGACATAGCATGTAGGAGGATTTCAAGGTCTGGCAAGGTGATAATTACAGGACCGCACTGGAGCTGACAGCTGGTATTGCAATGATCTCCTTTTATTGAGGTTCTCTGTGCGATTAGGAAAAAACCAGCAAACTGAGTTAAGTTCAGTGGCTGCTGCTGCCCCAGTTTAGACCCCTGGAGCCGTGTGTAGTGTGTGTGCAGAGCCTCTGTGGCTGATGCAGGGCTCTGCAGGCAGAGGACTCTCATGCGTGGCCCATGAGGAGAGCAGCTCAGATGTGTGCAGAAGAATGGCAGGTTCAGTTGCAGAATCCTGGAGAAGCCCGAGAAAGAGAATCAGAACTCAGTTATCAGCACAAGCCAGCTCGTTTGTGAGAGCTTAGGCTGGACACATATGCTATGTCCGTTCTGCATCTCTCAGGTGAAGACAGAGCATAAATGTTTGTTTGGTGGACCAGGAGGAAAGGTGATGCCTTCTGGAAGCAGTAAGCATGGCTTTGTGGTGAGTATGCTTGAGCTGGCAGAATATCTTCCACAGCCTTGAAATACGTGTAAGCTTATGAAATAAATTCATGATTTTCAGGATAACCACACAGTGAGTACAGACATGGAGTACACATATTAGAAGATTAGAACTTGAAAGTTAAACCATCTGTTTATTCATTTGTATGTTATTTATTCACCCACTTACTCATTTATTCCATAAAGGTTTATGAAATCTGTCACGTGTCACATTGAGTGTACAAAAATGAATAAAATGAACCTGCAGCTCTCAGCCCTCAGGGAGCTGACACCTGTCAACTACTCTGCCTCTGTCTCCATCCATCCACCCATCCACCCATCCATCCTCCATTCATCCACCCATCCACCCATCCATCCGTCCACCCACCCATCCATCCATCAACCCATCCCTCCATCCTCCATCCATCCATCCTCCATCCATCCATCCATCCTTCTACCCTCCAACCACCCACCCATCCTCCATCCATCATCCATCCACCCTCC